TAAGGAGATTTCCACTCTCTGCTGAGCGGGATTTCGGTGAGTTGCCCATATCTGCATTAAAGTTCGTGCTGAGGGCTCAAGATGTGTTCAAGGGTTCAAGTCAAAAACCATCTGGGCTGGAATTCACTAGCACAGTTAATTGAATTGTTTAGTATTGTCAGAAATACCAACGGATGTATCTGGTAAAATTGGAACTACAAAATTATTGTAAATAGTTTAGACAAATATTTGTTAAGATCAGTTCCTTCAGACTCTTTCAGAGCTCTACACAATAGCGCTCTCTGTAGCAGGATGTGAAGCTGTGATTTTTACAGCTGACAGCAAAAGTTAAACACTAAGGTTGAAATCTTGATCCCATTCAGTTCAATGGCAGAACTCTCAACAGGACCCTGAATCAAAATGTAGGGACTTAAATAAATGGCCTGATTCACACCGGCCATGAGCCTCCAGTGACTTCAACTGTAGTCTTCCCGTGGCCTCTAAGGATGGGTGAGCTTGTTTGGACCAAAGAAGAACTGACAGGAGAGTTGCTGAAATCTCAAGCTCGCAGGCTTAGAAGTTCAGAAAAATTAGGACAACAAGTTGTTTTGGGGGTTTTTTGGTGGGAGGAGAGGGGTCTGCTCTCTCCGTGCCCCTGCATCTCTGGTTCTGGAGAGGATGAGAAGCACCAAAAGGCAGTAAAACTAAAAGCAATTTTCTGGGTCAGAGAAAACCAGCTGTGGTTGTAAATCTGACTGGGAAGCTCCAGGAATGCACAGTGTGTGTGTGTGTGGGCCGGGGTGGGGACATGTAGTATCCAAATCACAATGGCATGGAGTTCTGGAACTGGGCGAAATTGGGAAAACACATGCTGCCTAATGCATAGACCAAAGAGGCGTAATGAGGCCTCCTGGAGTGGCAGCTGTCTCAGACTGTAATGGAATGTGGATCATACTGTAGCAGACGGTTTCTGACACCATCTCCATTTTGGACCATCCCTCTTCACATGAGCAACCCCACTATAGCCCTGTGACAATGTCAGCAATTGCCAAAATGGAAATGTACCTTCAGGAAGGTCTGTCTTGGTTTCTATCCGGCTTCAATATGTTAAAGCTTTGTGTGACTAATTCTTCCTCAAAACAACACTCCATGAGGCACGGCAGGAAGTTGTGGGGGTTGGGGACCTATATGGGCAGGTAGGCAGTACTGGGAGTTGTGGGGCAGGGCGTGGCATGCGCACAGTGAGGCTGTGTTCTTGACATTGAATTTGTATTTGTGATTGCTGGTCCAAGGCCGGCGCTGAGCCCTTTCCTGGCCCCAAGTGAGTTTGGGCAGGTCTCAGGGTCTCTTTGCCTGGGCAAGCCTCAGAACTGCAGGCTGGGTGTCATGACCTTTACTCAGTTTCGTTTCCAACTGTTGTTGTTATGTAACTTCAGGCATTTCCCCGGTGGAAAGAACCATTGATATTTTGGTGACAATGCACCCCTTATTCTTCATAGTGTTATTATTATCATATAATTATAACATAATTATAATACATTTTATGCAAGGTGGGTTCGTGTAAGATGTCATTGGAAAAGTTATGATTTTCTGAATATCACTATCCTATTTGTGTGCACATATCATTGTTCTGTCTGAAGTTATGAATATTGAGTACATATCTATTTCAAATGTAGTTACACCTGGGTATCGCCCACTAAGCAAGATGCTCTCAGTCTAGACACCTGGGTTGGGAAGGGAGGCAATGGTCCATTAGGGAAAACAATAGGCCTTAGGAAAAACTTCTCTCCCTCCTGGTGAGGCTTCCTGAGAGCTCTTCAGACAGCCTGTAAGTAATGGATGTTGTGACTCTACAAGAGCATGTGACCAGGCCACATAACTCTGGACTCCATCTTGGGATGTTTGTCCTTTCCCCACAAACTGGTGTGAGAAGCAAGTTTTGAAACAAAGAGTTCCTGTCCTATACTAAAGCTAAATAAGGCTGTGGGTGACATCATTGTTTGTTCTTCACTCCCCACACAAAAGGACTCTTGGAAACACCTGAGGAAAAAAGACTGAACTGCGGGGAGTGCTGGACCCAGGCTAAAGGGATTTCTAGCCTGTGTATGGAAACCTAAGAAACCCAAGTTCCAAAGCAAATGCAGGTTGTGCCTTGAGAATCTGCCAGATGGCTTGTATCATCAATCAGGTTGAAAAATTGTTAATTCATAGTCAGTCTAACTGGGAACCCGTCACACTTTGTCATCAGCTGCTTCAATCTCCTATCACACTATGACCCCTCTGTCTGTACTTTCCTTCGACACCCCCCATTGCCCCAATTCCAACAGCATGCTCGTGTCCAGTATATCCTCCATGCTCCCCAGTCATTCCTGGCTCCGACAATCTCTCAGCCTCCCCACAGCTCTTCCTCTGCAAGGGGTGAGGTGCTTCCCGTCACACCTGCTCCCTTGGATAGCAGGTAATCAGTGACTGTGTCTCACCAGTGAGAAATCTCACACACGAGTGGCAAAAGCCAAGGCACTTGTGTGGCTTCTCTTGTTATACCCATACACAAGGCGTGGTGTTTCAAGGACTGTTACACAGGAACAACTTCCAAGCTGAAAACTATGCACATTATATCATGGGAGTGGTCAAATATGGGACATGTGAGGGCCTAGATAAATACATCTGCCATGTGGAGGAACCACTGGGACACAGACATTAAACCCAGGAAGCTCTGGGACCATTTGCTAGCCAGCCCTACTAGCCATTCATGGTGATTATTGTACATTCATTCCTCACGGCAGACACTTTATGGGGTGAAATCATTATTTTTCTCACCTAAAATGTTCATCCATGCAGTGTCTCATGGGATCCCTTGGCCTCAAGAAATATACACCTAGTGTAACTTTTTCAAGTTGCCACGGTCACATGAGAATTTCTCCTCATAGGGCTAAATTCAACACGGTCATGAATAGAAAATTTGCCTTCAGTAAGCTGAGATATAAGCTTGCAGGCAAAATGCCTCCAGCTGACTTCAGATGACATGTTAGGAGATTCAAAAGCCAGAAGGGACCATTGTGATCATCTTGTCTGTATAACACAGGCCTGTACAACACAAACCTGAGAATTTCCCCTAAAGTATTCCTAGAGCAGATCTTATAGAGAAACATTCAACCTTGATTTCAAAATTCAAAGTGATGAAGAATCTGCCAAGACCCTTGGAAAATAGTTCCAATGGTTAATGACTCTCACCGATAAAAAATGTATGCCTCACTGTTTAAAAATATCATCTTATTTCAAGTGCCAAATATAGAGGTATCATAACTTCTCTGTCTCTCCTTGAGATTCCTTTAGTTATCATCCAAAGATCGTATTGGCTGTTTCGGCCACAGGATCACAATGGGAACTCATGTTTAGCCAATTATCCTTTCAGGCTTCTTAATCTTTTTCAGTCATTGCACTTCCCATGATAGTTCCCCATTGTATAAGCATCGCCTGCATTCTTTGTTCCTAGGTGTAGAGATCTATATAGCTAGATTAGAACACATATTGTTTGCTTCGATCCTGTTTACCAACCAATCCAGATTGCTCTGAACCAGTGACCTGTCCTCTTCATTATTTATGATCCCCCAATTTTTGTGTCATCTGCAAACTTCAGGTATGAGAAGAGCTAGAAGCTGAGCTGCTGACACGTGTCTCTGCTTACACTTGTCAGTTAAAACCTGTAACTTATGTCTCAGACAAAGCTGGGTGCCTTCAAGAAAGTGTCTCACCAAAAGAAACAAGGGAAGTAACAGAGATGCAGGCCTGTAGCCCTAAATACCAAGACCCTTGTGCTCTTTGTGCCCATTCTACTGAGCAGAGAGGCATAGCCCAGCATGATAACATCTGTTTCCCTGAGGGAAAAATGGCTCCTTTCCAATATATGAATTGCATTGTGGACTAGACCTATGGTCCATGTAGACCAGTGTCCTCTCTCTGACAGTGACAGCCCTAGTAGCTGCAGAAGAAGGTGTAAGAAACCCAGCAGTAGATGGATGGGGGGGGATGACCTGACAGTCCTGAGAGCATCACCCTAATGCCTAAGAGCTAGAGACTGGTCTGTGCCCTGAAACACATGGGTATACAGGCTTTCCAAAATGTTTATTTAGCTGTAACTGTTCTAACTGGCTAATCTCACTATCTATGTAAATGTCCAAACCCTTCTTGATTCTTACTTAGCTCATGGCCTCAACATTCTCTTGTGGCCATTAGTTCCTCAGTCAAATTAGGCACTGAGTGAAGAACACATTCTATTTTTATCTGTTCTGAATTGACCACGGTTCAGTTGAATTGAATATCCTCTTGATCTTGTGTTATGAGACAGGTAGAACACATTCTCAATCAGCTCTCTACCCGTGAGTATTTTATGGACTTTTCTCATGTCCCTTCTTATTCATGTCCTTTCTAAGTTAACAATCCCTGGCTTTTCTATCTATCTTCATATGAGTTTCCCCTAGGCCCTTAATCATTCTCGTTGCCCTTCCCTAAACCTCTCTGGTCCTGCAATATCCTGTATGAGAAGGGTGCCCAGTACTACACAGAGGAGTCCAGTGAATGGTGAAACATTGATTGATCTCAGGTCATTGTATTTTCTGTATGATTTTCCACCCCACTCCTCCTGGATCCCAATATTTTGCTCAGTTTCTGTCCGTACTTGCACTGTGAGCAGAGTTTCACAGAGCTGTGTACCATGACGCCCAGGTCCCTGTAAGGATTTTGAGGAATTCAGGTTTTTCACTCCAAGGGGCATACACACTGCATTTAGTGACATGGAAATTCATCTGCCAGCATGTTGACCGTGCACCTGGCTTTGTTAGCTCCCTCAGAGGAGTTCTCTGGACTTGACTATGAAATATTCTGGTGCCATCTGTAAATGTTGGCAACTCACTGCTCACCCCCCTTTCTAGATTGGTAATATCTATAAAAAGGATTTACTGTAATAACTGTTATAAAGTGTGAAATCCACCTTCCTGTGCTTCTCTCCCTTCACAGGCACCTGGAGCATCTCTGAGCCTGAGCGACGCATCAACCACCTCATGGCAGTTTTCAACCGCACCCCCTCTGACCCTTCAACGTTCATCCTCATGGGCATCCCCGGCCTGGAAGCTGCCCACATCTGGATTTCCATCCCTTTCTCTATGTTCTACGTTATTGGCCTGTTGGGAAATTTCACGGTTCTGTTTGTTGTAGGCAAAGAACAGACCCTGCACAAGCCGATGTACCTTCTTCTCTGCATGCTGGCAGTCAGTGACATTGGCATGTCTACATCCACCGTGCCAAACACACTGTGTATATTTTGGTTCAATTTGAAAAGCATTACTGTGGGTGGCTGCCTCACCCAGACGTTCTTCCTACACACGATTTATACGATGCACTCAGCCGTCCTCGTGACAATGGCCTTTGATCGCTATGTTGCCATATGTAACCCTCTGAGATATGCCACCATCCTCACCAACGCACGAATAGCTAATCTAGGGCTCGTGGGTTTGATAAGAGCTGTTCTCTTCATTCTGCCCATGCCCGTGCTCCTGAGCAAGCTGCCATTCTGTGCCAACCGCATTATCCCCCACACGTACTGCGATCACATAGCCGTGGCAAAGACGTCATGTGGGGACATCACAGTGAACAGGATGTATGGCTTGGTGATAGTGTTTTTAGTCATTGGGTTAGACCTGATACTCATTGTCCTGTCATATGGCCTGATTATCAGGGCTGTCCTCAGAATCTCCTCCAAGAAAGCCCATCAAAAAGCCCTCAACACCTGCACAGCCCACATCTGTGTGGTGCTGATTTCTTATATTTCCGTCCTCTTCACCACTCTGACACACCGGTTTGGTCAGGGCATCGCTCCCCATGTTCACATCATCTTGGCAAACCTCTATGTCCTCCTCCCCACCATGCTTAACCCTATCATTTATGGGGTCAAAATCAAAGAGCTTCGTGACAAAGTGGGCAAATACATCTGCAGAATGTGATCGCTGGTGGCCACTGACTTTAAACCTGTGTGACAAGAGGGCGAAAGGATATCTCCTTGTTAATCACGGGAGCTCTCTCCTAGTTTGGCTGAACACACCATTGTCTTAGCAAAGGCAATGTTATCTTGTTTATTCTGCTTTCTTTTAGCTGATCACTATTAGCTAGGCCTCTGGTCTCTTAACCATACTCTGGACTTTGGACCTGGAAAAGAGCTGGCACAATCCATATACCAGGTTGTTATATAAAATGCACATGGATTTTAACCCTTCAATACTGCAGCTCTCTGAAGCAAGGTGACTTTCCTGTGTCAACAGGGTCCTTGTCGTTTGACTCGATGAAGCCACATTTTCTGATAGTCAAAGAAAAGTAAAGCAACTACAGCACTGCAGTTCTTATCATATGTACAGTGA